TCACCGTGTCTCAGACCTGTAGTCAAAACTCCTAGATTTTAATTTCAGTTTGGCTATCAACTCAATGAGCAAGTTATTAGTTTTCAACATTTCCTAAGAGAAATGCTACCACAATATATTCATTTACAAAACAATGTGAAAAACATTTTGTGCTTAAATTCTGTAATTGTTCTTATCTATAGGTTTTAAGTGCACAATACAAAACGAGTACAATTTAGTATCTCTTCTTCTAATCAATGCTTTTAGTATTTAATAATTATTTCCATTTAGGTTACTGATGACCATGTCATTATTCTGACATGGCAACAATTCAAACATAAGGGACTACAAAGCCTCAATGACAGCAGGTAATTTTGATCACCAATTAATGTCATGAAACAACTATTTTGAGACATTTTCAAAATCCTTTCTGAATCCCTTTGGTCACTAAATATTAAATCTGCCTTCCCCTACTTTTAAGAAACCCTGGTACACATGGCCATAATCACGCAACTGTGCAGAGTTCCTTTAAAGAAAATGAAAAAGTCTGACAAACTAAAAATCAAGAGTAACAGTGAACCATACTTCAATTTATTGACATTGTCAATTTATGAACAAGACAGGAATTTTTTTTTTCCCCCATGAAATGAGATCCTTTTCAATCTGCCATAACATGTGCCCACACATCTTCACCTTGGAAAGGAGCATTTCAAGCTTTAGTCAGGGTCTAGAAGGAAAAAGAAAATGCAACAGTTGCTGGCTAGTTCTTGGTTTTCTTAAAAACTCAACATGAATATAAGAAATAACTTCCTTATAGTGAACTGTATAACCGTGGCTATCATTCACACTGCCTTGGCTCAGATGTAAAAAAGCACTGGTTCAAGTACACAGGTTTAGTCAAGCAGACTTTTCTCCGCTGACTAAAAGTAAACACTCTCCCAGCAATAAAGAAACTACTTTGCCTTTAAAAGACACTAACATCTCCTTGTGCTAATGAGGTGCGGTAGTAACCCCAAGGGCATAACAGAGAGGGGCTAATGCTTTAAGGGGATCGACACTACTTCCTGACCCCCAGGACCCCCAGGACTTTGCAAAATCTCAGCGTTAGATGCAGTCTGGTGGCTCTGAGCCGAGTGAGGCTAACTGATTTTCTGTTAGCTTACTGTTAAAACAAAACAACCCAACATAAAACCAGCTCTCATTACTCAGAATTATGAGATTAGACAGAGAGCCCCTAGAAAAAGGGCTAAATTCAAAACACTGCATCTCCAGACTTGTAATAAAATATTTACTAATTCAAAACGAAAATGAAAAGTTAGGGGAGACAGTTTCAATAAGTAAAATTGCTCATAACCACAAGCTGCCAAAGAATTAATATTTATCACATTTCTGTGCTATTATGGGTCTGAAGCTTTTTAAAAGCAAAACTAGAAAAATTAAACCTGAAAAACATCTCTGATAATTTGCCTTGCCTACTTTTGAAATAACAATGTCAAGAAAGTACTTTTGAGATCAAACCACTTTTATAATTTGGAACACAAAAGTCTACACTTATCAACTGTACAGAACTTTTTATTTCATGTGAATAACTTTACATCACCAACATCTTTGAAAAAGTAAAATGAACCAAACCCTCTGAAAACATAATAAATTAGCAAAACAGTATTCACTGCAGGTTCTTGCATATTTTATTGCTTGATGCAACAGCAGGACCCTTGCCTGTACTTGTAGTTATTATGTTCGGGAAGTAGTGGTTTGTGAGAATATTAGTAAATGTGGGGGAAATAAAAATGTAAAGAACTGTAGTTTTTTATGCTCTTGAACTATTATGTAACTCCAATAGCAATTACAAAAGTGGGGAGTTCATCCTCCAAGTTATTTGATTTGTGCAGACAAATGAAACAGGTTTAACTAAAATAAGATGGCTCTCTACCTAAGCATTGCTAAATGAATTGAAAATCAATGTGCCAATTACTTCTGCTTGTCGGGCCCAAAAAGATTTTCTTTTTGTTAGGCCATGGGACTTCTATAATAACCTGCATGCTTTAAATTATATTATCCTAATAACTTCCAAATACACTGACTAAAAAATGAATAGAACCCAAAATTAAAATTATTTTGATTTTTACGGTGCTCCAAAAACTTAAGATGCAACTGTTCTTCTAAATAAATCAGTAACTTACAGATTATTCCTTCTTTACTTTCACAATTTTTACGCTGCTGCCAGAAGTCTTCTCGGCATTTGCTTTGAATTCTGTCTTCAGTGCATCTCTGACTGCTTTTGCACAGATCTGGGAGTATCGGATGTAGCTGGGAGAAAATGAGAGAAGGTATATAGTTAATTATCAATATTCCAGCCAGACCAACTGTTACTACTGTGCTTTCGCTTTTCTTCCTGTACTTTTTTGGTAGTACCTTATTGCAGAACTGATTTTAAAAATATGACTAATGCCAAAAACAATCTATACAAAGAAAAAGAACATTAGAAAAATATGTACCAAAGTATTAATTGGTGTTTGGACAGATGATCTTTGATTTTTCTTCTTTGTACTGTGTTTTCTCTTTAGTGTATAGTAATTAAAAATAAAAGATGCATAAATGTTTTTAAAAATCCCACAGCACAGAAAAAAAAAAACCTGAAATGTTTAGCGACTATAACAAGAATGCATCATCAATTCTCTCCTCAATTTCTCTCCTTAAAACTTTTATTACTCTTGGAAAATGAGGTATACATAATTAAGAGAAAACTATTTTGAATTACAACAATTCTTTCTAAATTATTTAAACTCTTTTCTGAGAAAAATGAATTCTACCTTAGAAGTCTGCCACTGAAAATACCTCCTAATCAAGATTTCTAAATTACACTGAAAAGTGCTTTGAGAACATCATCAATTCTAGCAAAATTGTAAAACCTGCTTCCTGTTTGGTAGATGGACTCCCATCAACGTTGTAGTTTCCAAAAGATGTCAGGTCACCTTTCCCACTTTTGAAAAACAGGAAGTGGGGAGGGGTGCAATTTTCTCATGTTTTAGAATTTATTTTGGGGACTCTGAGGTATGAGTTCCAATGCCTGCTTCCATTCTTACTAACTGGTGACCTTCAGGCTGTTCAACCTTTTCAGCATGTTTATTCACCTGAAAAAACAATAGAATAAAAGGATAATACCTGTCCTGCTGATAGCTGGGAGGAGGAAAAACAAGTGCGAAAAGGTACGGATCACAGGGTAGGTTGCCTAATAAATGGTATCTACTACCTTCCATCCTTCCAATTCTGCAAGACTTCGCTTGCTTGACCTCAGCAAGTTGGGAAGCTCCGTTGTAATGTAGTCACATGTACCCACAAAATGTAAAGAGCTACACCATCTAGTCAACTAACAACGTGAGTCACTGGGAGCAAGGTACTTCTGCTCACTCAGGTGCATGGATAAAAAAAATTAGATGTGACATCTAGACCAATAACCGGTTTGCGGTTCCACTATTGAGACACGATGTCCTCAAGTGGGTTCCATATTTGAGCCTTCCAGGAGCCACCTCTCACCCTTGTGCGGAGCTCTGAATAGTTTACCAGTGGCTTTCACCCCTTTTACACGGAAACCTGAGATCAACAGGAATTAATAGTTTTAAAAAAAAAATGTGTAAAGTTGTAAAAGGCTCCATCTCGATGCTGGATTAAAGGTCAAAGCGGCTAACAGCTGTCACGTGGAGAGAAATCTCCTGTTTACTGAGGTGGATGTGACTGTACTACTTTCACCACCTGGCTCCAGCACCATTCTAGAAGAAAAAGGTTTGCTGAATAAGAGCTGGCCTCTCTTTCTCGAAACCTCCCATTCACAAAGGTGTCCACGGGCACTGTGCGGGTGCTGGGCCGCACCTGTGGGAAGCGAGGCAGTACACAGACGCACTCCCACGCGAGGCCGAGGCCTCGCCTGCCTGAGTGCTTTGCCCACAGCGACGCCATCTTGGCGGCGACGCCCGAGGTTCGGCCCAACCCCGGTCACGCGTGGGGCCACTGCTCCGTGTCCTGTATGACCTCTGCGCACGGGGATGCGCGCGGGCCGGGCTCGCGGGGCCCTTCCCTCTGGAGGCCTGGGCCTACCTGAGTCCAGCCTGTCGCCAGTAGGCCACCATGCTGTAGCGAAAGTGGAGCGCGTCGGGCCGAATCGCTAAGACGCCGACAATGTCGGCTCAGCCGGGCGGTTCAGCCGCAGGAAGAGCAGACCACAGAAGCGGAAGGGGCGGGACGTGCGGACCTGCCAATCGCCGCCTCCTACCCGGCCCCGCCCCTGCGCACGGCCCCTGCTGCCCTGCCGCGGAAGCCCCCCGGCGCCGGGAGCCAATGGGCGCGCGCGATCTGGACTGCGGGTGCCAATCCCCGGGCGGGTCGGCCGGCCGCGCCCACCTATTGGCTCGAAGAGCGGCCGGGGAGTGTGTCCCGGAGCTTCCGTATTGCCCCGGCGGGGGCGACCGGGGCAAGAAGGCAAGAAGGCCGGGGCAGCTCCGCTTGCTGAGGGCCGCGGAGTCGCGTACTTTCGGGAAGCGAGGACGGGAGGCGGCGCGGGCACGGCGGCCCCGAGGGCCTGGCTTTGCACGCGCTTCAGGGAAACGGCGCCGGCTCTTTTATATCTGTGGGCAGACAAGCGTGTCCTGAGAGCTGAGATTTAGAAAGGCTCTTAGGGCACCCCCTTTCTCGGAGTGACACTAAACCCTGGAAACCCAGTGGAGGACTGGCGTTTTCTGTAGTTCTAGGACCTGCTTCCGATGTGCGACAAGAGGGAGGGTAAGGCAACAGTTGCCACTGTTGCCCGTAATGGATGGGAAGAAAAAAGTGAGGAAAACTCACTGGAGGCACAGGGGAGCCGCCACGGGGCCGGGAAAATGCTCATCTCAGTGCCTGTGATAGAAGCTCTAACCCAACGCAGTGAAGGCTCACAGTCTAGGAATTAAAGTGTTTCTGTCATAAAGAAAAGAAGCCTTTGCCCTTCACCTTTAATTACTAAAAAGAAATTATAATCAGGAAAAACATCACTTAAAAGAAAGTTTTTATTAACAAAAGTTTTTCTTAATCCACATATCAACTTTAGTATTAAATAGTCCAAGGGTTTCATTTATGAACACTTATTCCAGTTTAGTTCTCTTAAATTCATTTGCTTGTTGTGCATTTATGTTTAACTGCACTGGAAAATGAAAATTTATGGAGTTTTATCATTAGGTCAGAGTTTAAAAAAAATCAAAGGATAAGGATTTAAAAATCTCTATCATTAGGTCATTACACCTTTTTCAGAAAAAGGATAATTTGCAGAAATTATACAAAGCAGATTTTCATCAAGTATCAATTATTTAGCGATATTTTATTTAGCTGAAACGTTATTTCACTTGTAAAAACTCTCTCTGGTTACAAAAAAATAATCAGAAACCTTATTAAATTTAACCTGCTTTTACAAATGTCCTAAGAAATCTTAAGCTAAACAATGTTTAAGTAGGAAAACGATAATTTAAAAATAGTTTGTTATACTATTTCTGTGGTTTATGTACATGTATTAACTGGTCTCTTTGATAGGAAACATGACTAGAAGTTTATCACACTAAGCACTGTAAAATAAAGGCAAGAGCTAATCATCTAACAAAAATACTCTATGCAACAATTGCAAATGTCAAAGCTATTATTTAGTGGTTAATTGCCTGCTACAATATATAAAACAAAGTACATTTACTAGATTGTTTTTCAGTTTGCAGCTGCTCTCCTGTCATCCCAAATAAGGAATTCCCATAAGTAAAACCTGCAGTGCAATTCACGTAGTGGTTAGTTTCAGGCCAAGCCTCCCCCTACCATTATCCTTGTTCTTCCCCACCACCCCCAAATCCTGCAGTGGCACCATATTATTAAAAACACTAAGTACCTGGGGTTTATGCCTCAGAGCAAGACATCATTTGAGTAATTTCAAATGATGTACAGCTCCTTCATGTAAAAAAGATGTTTTGTGGTCACAATTACTTCAAAAAGTAATTATATTCAAATAACCTGACATATGCCTTAGCAATTACAAAACCATGATTTTGACACATGGCAATTTTTAAGTTAGGCAAATGTGAAATGCTAAAAGATGTGAACAGCTGTTCTTCTGTTTAAGTTAGAGTGCTGCAAAACTCAGGTAATTACTTTATTTTTTTCGGTTAACATAACCAGCCCACGACACAGCATACTAAATCACAAAGTACAAATCCAAGGAAGTTAATACCTTTACTAAGTCACAAAACTTTGGCAAATCAATACAGTACTCTTTTATAATGAAACCATACTTTTGTTGGAGTCATGTTACTTCAGTGATAATTTTTCACTACAAAAATATTTAAGTACCAAATCAAAACACTGGTTTTTAATGGTGGTTTATAGCAGAGTAAGGTATTTTACACAAAAAATATTTTACAACTACACAATTTCTCCTTTTAAGTGAGCTCCCTTGTGCAAGCTGTTGAAGTGTACAGCAGCAGGGCAATGGGCGTCTATAGGAGGTGGCTCTGCTCTGTTCTGGGGTTGGTCCAAAGTCAGGTGGAGTTCCAATGTATGAAAAGCTTGAAAATTCTACCTTAAGGAGACTGAATATCAATACCAGTTTCCAAGAAGTTCTTGTTCAGTTTTCACAGAAATACTGGAACCCTCAAAATCAAGATAGTAATTTCAAACAACATTAATTTCAGATGATCCCTTTTATTTAGAGGCCCTGCATCTGTTTAGATCAAGTCACATAGCCTTACACCTACTTATAAAAAACAAAAAACAAAACCCCAAAATATAGTTGTATTTTTTAAATAACAAATAAATATATAGTCAGCTTGGAGAGACCTGGAGGACCCGATGTTGTCTACCCACTGTCATGATCACTTCTCTGCAAACGCTGCTGCTGCCATTGGAGTCCTGATGGTTCCTCTTGCTGAGGCTGTCAGTTCTTCAATCTCAGCATTTAATTTATGTATTACCCATTCCATTGCTTCTCGGCCCTTAAACAAAAATCCAATACATTTATTGTTACTGAGTGAGAGCAAAGGCATATATTGAACTAATGACACACCAGGAAGTAACAAGGAGTATGACAAGTTTAACTCAATCTCACGATGACAGATCGTTTTTGTCCTGGCTTTTTCTTTTCTAATGTTATTTAGCAAACATCAAATGCCTTGAGCAACTGGCTTGATCCATAAACTGACTTTTATTTTGTATGCAAAAGATGTTCTCAAATGAATCTACAATGACAGAATGTCTTATTTGTTTCAGGATTATAGTGGTCCCCTTTTTAGGGGGACAAGAAGGTCAAATCCCTTTTCTTTATATTGTAAACCAAAATCCTATACAAGGGATCTGGTCCTCAATTCCCTCCTCACCCCTTCTCTCCTAGTGTTCTATGCAGTTCCTTGAAAAACAGAAAGAGCACTCCCCACTTCCTGTCCCAGGGCCTTTGCACACGCAGCTCTTCCACCTAGAATACTTTTCTTGGCATACCGCTCGCAATCCACCTGCCCCCATTTGGCGCTCAGTAGAAACATCAGTTACTGAACACTCATTAAGCACTCTCATACCTTTCTGTACCTTTTCTTTCCTAATGAAATGCTGTGTGATTAATTTCACCTGCCTCTTAGTTCCACGAGGGCAGGGACTACATTTATTTTGCTCCCTGCTTTATCCCCTGTCTAGCCTAGCACTCTGCATGGCACAGAGAAGGCTTCCATGAGTATCTCCTGATAACTACATTAACCACGTGTTAGGCAACAGTGCATTAGGCATCTTTCTCTAAGCTTACTGTTTTAGATCATGCATTCTCAATAAGCAAAAATTGGTTCTTAGGGGGGATGGAAAAAATTTCCCTCTTTTATGTATAAAGTCCACACATATGTATATGTTACATAACTTAATGGAGGTGGCAATTAGGGAAAATATGTCTCAAATGAGTTGGGGGGAGACAATAGTGAAAAAGGTTGAGAAACAGTGCTTTAAATGACACACAGCTACACATCATTGAGTACTTCCTGAGTGCTGGGCCCCAGGCTACACACTTTCCATATGTTATCTCATTTACTCCATGCAAACCCTGTAAAATGGGTAATCTCCACTTCCAAAACAGGAAACTGAGGCATAGAAAGGTTAACTTAATTGCCCAAGGTTAAAAGCCTAAAAGTTAGAGCTTGGATGTGAACCCAGAGCCTTGGTAAGTAACTGTCCAATGTGCTGCAGTTTCCTATGGTAGAACTGGCAAGGGTTGGCTTACAAGGTCACATGTGCAGTCAGCACCCCATTCCATTCCCACGAAACGAACCAGGGATAATAACCAAGAAGCAGTCTCACTTACTTTACTAGCGTTTGAGGATATCGTACTTGCCATCAGTCCTTCAAGGTAACTGCTGAGGCTAACGCCTTTCACAGTGATTATGGCTTCTTGAGTCAAAACAGTTCTGGAACAAAACATATTCACACAGATTCAGATGATCCAGCTTTCATTTTCAAAAAACTTGATAAAAAAAACTTAAACACCCTTTACAATACATTTGTTAAAATATTTTTTACTCACTTGTCTGGATCCTGAGGATGTGGTTTGTATATAAGTCTCTCATCTACTGAAACCATGTTTGTAAATGAAATCTACAGAATGAAAAAAAAAAAAAAAAAAAAGATCAAATCATTTTGGAACTGAAGATTCAAAATGTTGCCAAAATCAACACACAAGCCAAAATCTTACTAAACATATAAAACAACAAACAAACCGCTGCTATTATTGCATAAACTATTCACTGTCTACTTTTTATTTAAAAAGTTGAGGAAATAAAGTATAATAATGATAATACACATAATCCCAAACTCATTTTATTGAGTGCCATCCCCTTAGAGATAGGCAGGATCATGAGAGCAGGAAGTTTGGAAGCGACACCCAGGGCCAAGTCAGGCCAGCACATAAGCAGGGATTCTCTGAACCACACCATGAACATGCACTCACTTCTATGGCAACTAGGAGACAGACAAAGAACTCAGCCAGACAGTCAGAAATGAAACAAAAGGAAGCCAAGACTTACATTAGTAGATTTAAGTTCCATTGTTTTCTCTACAGGATCAACTACAGAATGTTCTTGCACATATGTTTTCGTTCTTGCTGCACCAATAAGCTAAGTAAAACATTCAGAATTAGGAATCAGAGGAGGAAGAATTTCTTACCAAGTGTACCAATATTTTATTTGAAGGAAAAAATGTGTTACAATATTTTGAACCAAAAATCTGCTTCCTAAAAACGAGAGGAAACAAAGGTCAGAAAGGAGGCCTACTCACATATCATGGATGAGAGGAGACTGCCAGACACAAAAACTTTTCCCAGGGGCAATTAGAAACCAGCCCACTGAGAATCTCTGCAACGTGAGGCACCACCCTGAATCTGCCGCAGTGCGATAGTGGAGCGCTAAGGCTGAAATATGGAAATCAGGTTTGGGGCAACATGGCAGCTAGAAAAAGGAGAACTCAAAGGCATCTATCAGCATCGTCCTAGAACAGCCTAAGGGAGGGGGCACCTCAGCTTCATTCTTCAGACAGAAAAACAGCTTTCTCACGATGGAGGATCACACATCAGTGTCCACTGTCACTCCCTGTGCTATGACCCTAAGCCCACCCCCAACTCTGCTCATTTCTGTGTCTGCACTATGGTTTGCATAAAGGAGGCAGTAAGTACATTCCTATTGAAAACGTGTACTTTAGTTTTCTTGGTGAACCTACTCTCCATAAAGAGACCCTCTAAAGAAAACTGGTGTAATAATTATTACACCACTTACTACACCAGTTTTCTCACATTATGGTAAACTGGCATTCTAGTTTCTCCCTGGTAAAATCTGCTCACTAAAGCCTGTTCATTCTTAAGGGAATAGAATTTTCTAAATGTACAGGAAGGAACTCCAGACCTTGGAACAAATGTGGCAATAACAAGTCCGAGAACATACTCCTTAAGGTACGTAACCCACCACTGGCCACAGAACTGTCATCTAACAATTACGACCAGACCATTACTGCCAAATCTTAGGATTGGTCTCAAGTTGCTGGCAAAAGCAGAAAAAGCAGAATATAACTCCTTTCAGATTACATAGCATTAGCTGGCTTCCTTAACAAAATTTTATCGGGTGCCTTCATGAAGACTGTAATAATATTTCCAATTCATTATACACTCATAATTCAAGTTTATTATAATACAACTTGAACGGATGCAAAAAAATGACATTCAGAATCGGCTCCCACAACCTATTTGAAAGTATAATGCGGTTTAGAAAACTTCTCAACAGCAGTCACATTTCTCCAGGAATAAAGACATACTTACAGACTTCACAATGGAAGGCAGTCCCCACTCTGTGCTGAGAAGTCTGTGGCTGTGCAACTTTCCAGAGGGATCTATATGTCTGTCCAACACATCAACTCCAACCACACTTGGGTTCATAGGGTTTGGGTATTTCTGCATTGCAGCTGTTGTAACAGTTTCCCATGGGTGGCTGCCGATGTGAACAAAAAACCAAAACAATCAAACATTTAAAAATATGCATATGAGTTAGAAACAATTTTTATAATCTATCAAATCATTCATTCCAACGTAAGTTTAATGAGTTTATCTAGGAAAAATTACCTTCTGAAACACTGATTATGGGAACCTGATCTACATTTTTAACAGGCTTCAGTATTTTTCCACAATACAGGCTATGTAATAAAACTCCTATCTATAAAGATCAAAGCAGCCTACAAAGCATTACGGTGTAGTTTCTCAAACCATCTTTCCTGCCTATCATTATCCACTTCCACATGTAAATTGTTTCTAGGAAGAACCAGTGATTCATGAAAATGTATTTAAAAATTATGTTCTGAAACAAATAGCCAAAAGTATGATTATGCCATTTATTTTTTTCTGACTCCAATTCTATCAGTTTATAAGGAAGTAAAAAAAGTAAAAGAATGTATGAGCACTATAAATTCTTACAGGGATCACCAAAAGATCCAAAGCATTGATTTCATTATTGAACCTTTCCTTCATTTTAATGTAATAAATAACAGTGGCTTCTCCAGTCAATCTTTATCTATTGTTTTTCTCAAAGGAGTGATTCTGATTTCTGTTTTGAAAAGGTCACTCAATGTAACAAAATGTCCTTAAGGCACACTCCTAATATACTATTTTCTAATATTCTCTTTTAATACAATAAGCGTTTGCTTATCACCTAGTATTGAAGTGATAATATCACATCACTTGATAACTTGCAGGATCTTTATTTTCTTGAAAAAGCACATGTGCTTGGGTGATTCAAAATGTGATGTACCTTTGTTCACGTCACAACTTCTGTGAAGAAGACACTTGTACAAAAAATGTCATTTTCTCCTGCCTCAGCCTCCCGAGTAGCTGGGACTACAGGCGCCGCCACCACGCCTGGCTAAAAAAATATCATTTTCAAAAGGACCCCTTATTAAGTACAATCAGTATTAAAGGTGATTTAGTCTACCTGCAGTCTGATTCTAATGCCTTCTATACTACTTATCTGTGCTCTCATCTTCATTTAAAGGAAAAAGACAAGATCTGGGGATGATGTTTCAAGCTGCAATGACTGATAAGCCACACAGCATTACTTTCTATTTTTCTAAAAGTGAAACAAGTAGACATTATTCCAACTTTTTAGAGAACTCAAGATTGACAACTATATCTTGTCAACAAAAGGAAAATCTCAACTCCATTGATTTCCTAGAACTCTGGATAACCAGTGACATCATTTTTAATGTTTTCATTATAATATTCTTTTCTCTACAATATTGTACCAATGAACCTCATTCTGTTTTTAGTCTCCAGCCTTATCCAGCAATCAATGCAGGTATATAAGCAGCGTTGCTTCATCAATCTGAAGAGTCCCCACAAATAGAAGCACATAGGCCAAGCACTCTGATTCTTACCAAGGCAACTCTCTAAAATGAAAATCAGATGAACCCCCCCCAGGTCTCCATCCAGTCATATACCATGGTTAACTGGCTTCCATGCCCTTATCTCTTCCTCCAACCCTCTCTAAAAAATTAATAATCGCATGACTTCAGGGTGGTTATGCATTATTTGTAATTTAGTCCATCTCTCCTTTCTGAACCAACTTGAAACCGCTGATGTTGACTTAGCTTGGCTCAAGATTGCTTTATGAACCATAACCAGTTCAAATATTACAAACAATACTTACTATGATTAGGAATGTTCCAGCAATTAATCTGAGCTGTATTAACATAATTACGTGGGAAAGATCTCACAATGGAAGACATTCAAAGACCACACCAAAGTACAATCAGGACCTGGCTATGGCTCACTGACCTGTCCAACTTCTTCACCTTTGAAACGAAGTGAGGACATTATCAACTCCACTGGGGCAGCATCGATGTCTTGATTTACTTATTAAAATGTAATCAATCCAAAGAACAGTGCCTGACATATACTGGGCATCTCTGTATGTTGAAGGAATCAATGAATGACTTCACTTGGATACCAGCTACAGGCCTCAGAAGAAAAGTGTTGGAAAATCAAAGACAGATAAGATGTAGAATGATGGCCAGGTGTGGTGGCTCACGCCTGTAATCCCAGCACTTTGGGAGCCAAGGTGGGCAGATCACAAGGTCAGGAGATTGAGACCATCCTGACTAACACAGTGAAACCCCGTTTCTACTAAAAATGCAAAAAATTAGCCGGGCGTGGCGGCGGGCACCTGTAGTCCCAGCTACTTGCGAGGCTGAGGCAGGAGAATGGTGTGAACCCCGGAGGCGGAGCTTGCAGTGAGCCGAGATCGCGCCTCTGCACTCCAGTCTGGGCGACTGAGCGAGACTCCCTCTCAAAAAAAAAAAAAGAAAAAAAAAGATGTAGAATGATGACTTAGATATTGTTAGAGAGTAACATCCTAAAGATCAGAAACAACACTCAGATTTGTGAGGGGAGATGATGACTTCAATTTCAGATAGGCTGAGTTTGAAGGGCCTGTGGAACAGGAGGGTAGCCATGCCTAACAGGCACCTGAAAATGAAAAGCGAAGCCCAAGAGAGGCTGGAGCTCAAAGTACAGACCTGGGAGCCATAAATGTATACCTATCATTTGGGACTTTGACCAAACAGCTCAGATTATGTGAGGAGAAAGCACGGATCAGGGCTGCTTCTCCCAGGACAAAAAAAAGGCTGTGACAAAAAGAAAAAAAAAAAAAAGCAATTAATATCACAGGTGAAATCCAACACAGGAAGGCCAACAAAATCTTACTGAACATTTACACTGAATGGGAAAAGACAGGGAAGTACTGAAGACAAAGGCAGAAAGAGTGTACAGGGAAGGATGAGCCAGGAAGAAAAGTTAGGGAAGATATGGGAGAAGAAGGTTCTAGGGATACTCAGTGCCAAGAACTTCTGAAGCATGCAAACCTAGAAGAGGACTGAAATTAAACATCCTCAGAGCTGAAATGGATTAGTGATGAATGTGACCAGGTTAATGAACATCTCAATGACTACAAATTTCGGGTCTTTTTCCTCCCAGAAAGACTGTAAACAGTAGGGAGAAAAGAAAGCTTCCTTCTGATTCCAATATTCTATACTTTGCAGGATACAGCAGGCCCTAGGATGTGTCCCACTAAGTACAAATGCTGACAACGTGTTAAAAGTTGCCTTCAGAGGCTGGGCACAGTGGCCCACACCTGTAATCCCGGCACTTTGGGAGGCCGAGAGGGGGTGGATCACTTGAGGTCAGGAGTTCGAGACCAACCTGACGAACATGGTGAAACTCCATCTCTACTAAAAATACAAAAATTAGCCGGACGTGGTGGTGGGCGCCTGTAATCCCAGCTACTTGGGAGGCCAAGGCAGGAGAATCGTTTGAACACTGGAGACGGAGGTTGCAGTGAGCCAAGATCACGCCACTGCACTCCAGCCTGGGCAACAGAGCGAGACTCTGCCTCAAAAAAGAAATAAAAAGTAACAGTTGCCTTCAGAGACACTTTTAAAAACATAAATGGCTTTGTAGCATGTTTATTTACAAGGCTATCCTAATTAAAACAGTGTGGCAACGACATTAAGATCAGCGGAACAGAGCAAGTAACTCGGGAAAAAAGGGATTTCGCTGCTTAAATTTGTGGCTGTTTTGTAAATGGAATCAGGGACCTGGAAGAGAATTTAATTCTCCACATCCAACTGGTTCAAGGCCTATTTTCGTTAGTAAACATTTCACATTATCCAAAAAGATGTTCCTGAACGTGGCCTCAAAGGGATCTAACACGCGTGGTCCCTGACGACCGTCCTTTTCCATCTCTCAGATAAAAATGGGTAACCCAGGGTCACACGCTTATTGCAGCCAGAGCTAGACCGTGAATTCCAAATCCAAGGCTCTGCTGCGTAGATGAACGAGTTGTGAAAAGGTTTCACATCCTGGTGGCCAGGTTCACCCGAAATTCACATTCGGAGGTAGAAACTCCACCCAAAAGGCGGCCAGGGAAAGTACACTCTGGAGAAAACCAACACCTCCCTTTTGGGATCCTCGGGTCCACGTCCCAAAGGGGTTTCGCAGGGCGGGATGTGGCAACCCTGAGTGCTGTCAAGGGCCTCGTGCTCCGCGACGCCCCCAGGACCTCAGGAGGCCGCCGGTCCGAGACTACCTCATGGTAGGGGACAGCCTGGAAGTGGCCCCCGTCACCCTCCCGGTCGCAGGTGCGCCTGGGTCTGGAGGTCGGAGCCGTCCCCTCGGCTAGCGCGCCTCGGGGTCGTGACCTTGGCCTGCCCTCCATGTCGCCAGGGCCCGCAGACTTCTGGGTTCGCTCCGCTTGCTAGGCCCGACGCCTAGAAGCCTCCTGCGGGCCGCCTCTGCCTCGCCTCGACTCCAGAGCCAGCGTGCCCGCCCTCCACGGAGCCGCCCCCGCTCCCCAAACTCACTCAAAGACGTGCTCCGAAGTCCAGATCTTCATGGTGCCGGCACCCTCAGCGATGTCCGGGTAGCGCCAGGGGACAACGAGGCACAGAGGCTACACCGGCCCCTGCCCCGCCCCCAGCACTCTAGCCGGCGGCGCAGTGCGCAGGCGCTGTCGGGCCCGACGCGAGGGACGTCCCGACGCGCGGCCCTACGCCCTATCCCGGCCCGGGTTTTGCCCCAGCCTTGCGCGCAGCGCAAGGAAACCCCACCCCTTAGCGCCGGCGCGTGGCGCCGGCGCAGTGCCGCAGACGGCAGCTTCGGGGGCCGGCGCGGGCGCTGTGCTGCGCAGGCGCGGCGGGTGGGGCGGGAGCGTTGACCTCTGGGCAGAGTTGGGTCAGGTCCAGGAGGTGCCTGGGCGCCCGCCTGGCCTTCCTTGTCCTTCTGGCCCAGCATATCCTCGCCTGGCATTTCGAGGCGTGTGGACGCATGCGGTCAGCCTGCTGACATGGATGTTCCATGTGGTGGTCACTTGTGCAAAATTTCCTGGTGCCCCATAGAAGAGTTCCTGCCACCTCCTGGGTCAGCCCCGGCTGTTGTCCCAAATCCACCAGCCAGCCAGCCGACCAGCTGTGCCCGTCCTACCTGCCCTCCAGGAGCTTGCAGCCCTCGGAGGGGATAAATAAGGCGGGACGCGGAGAAGCTAACATCAGACATGCCCATGAATAATACCCCAACGAGGGGTAAAGTCCGGAAGCACGGTGCCAGGGATCGGGTGGAAAAGCTTCCTGGCTGGGCACACCTTGCCCTAGGTGCATAGGATGGATCTGAGTTGAGATGTGCCTCCCGGAGAGACTTCCCTCGTCACCGTTTCTCACCTCGTTGCTGTGCTTCATCACAATATCATGTTGCATTTTCTATAGCATTTACCCCTCTGACGTCATCTTGTTAATTTATTTGTTATAATTCCCAATCGAACTGAATACTTGAAGGCAAGAATCTTGCTGGTCTTGCTCAAAAATAATTCTCAGTGTCTCATATAGTCACGGCTCAATGATTATTTACTGAAAAATGAAAAAAATCAATAGCTATTTGTGGGATGAATGAATGAATGGAGTCATCTAGTTTATTCGTTGTAACTTCCGCTAGACTGTAAGCCGCTGAGGGCGAGGCTCTTGCCAGACTTGTTCAATGATTTTCCCCTTCCTACATGACAATTATTTGTTGCATCAATGGATGAAAGAATGACTAAGAAGTGCTGGGCCAGGAGGAGGTGGCATGTGGTTTCATTCAGAGATAAGCCTTGTCCAGGGGACAAACTGCCTGGTTTACCTCTCAGAATACAACTTCCCACCCTGCTCTCCCCTACTCTCCACAGCCGTCTACCTCCTAACAGAACAATTTGCCATTTTAAATGAAGGTTATGGAGGAAAATCTTTACATCTAGTTACTTAGAAGCAGTTAGAAGGACCACCTCATTCTCGTTCTTAGCTTGTTTGATTGCTAAAAACAAATAAAAAGCCAGGTTAATTTAGAAGGGAGGATAATTTTTCAAAATAGCATAAGTCCTTTATACAGGAAAACAAAAATTATATTAGACAGGAAGGAAATAATATGGTTGGGTAGTTGCTAAGTGCAATTTGTGGTACCTGCGATTTTCTTTTTTTAAACCTACAGTACTTAAGAGTGATTTCTTGGGGAGGTAATGCTTTAAGGGCTGCTGAGAGTACCTCAGCCTTGACTAAGATGCAAAGTTAACGACGCTGGGTGTTAAAAACACTGGTTCAGGAACCATCAGCACAGAACAGCCTGTCCCTGCTATTCCTGGAGTTCCATGAGGCTGTTCACCGTTCAGCATTCCTGTTCTGTTTAATTTAGAGAACATTATTCTGCCCTCAAGTTCAAAATTTCTGTGTTTTAGTCATGAAAATTAAATGACACCTATCTCCTCTGCCCGCAACACACACACTACATCAGTCTAATTTTACTTACTAGATCTAGAGTGATAGGATGGGGCATGGAAAGATGGAGATCCAGGACCCAAGTGTCTTCTCTGTGTGTCTCCTCATGGTGGAAATAATACCACCTCTTACTTGGATTTGGAGGGCAAGACTTTCATAATGATTATCTCTCGGAGACTCTCTTAGGAGACACAGAGGAAGCAAATTAATGGTTTTTAGATACCTAAGCCCTGTATTACTTGTCAGTGCCTCTCACAGAAACAGAGAAGTCATTAGCAACAGGTCATTAATTTAATTTGAAATTAACTAGGTGACTAGTAGTCACGGCCCTTGCCCCAGGGATGACACATATCTATCTCCACACCCTTCCTGTTGGGATCTCCTGTTGGGATCTTGCTGAGCTCCGTGTCTGGGACGAGAATGAAGATGTGACTCTTACCCACAAGGAACTTTACAACTGGCCAGGAACCAAAACCAAAACACACGTCGAGAATCAACTAGAGGATATTTATTTATTTATTCATTTATTTTTTAGACAGAGTCTCACTCTGTCACCCAGGCCCAGGCTGGAGTGCAATGGCATGATCTCGGCTCACTGCAACCTCTGCCTCCTAGGTTCAAGTGATTCTCCTGCCTCAGCCTCTGGAGTAGCTGGGATTACAGGCGCATGCCACCACACCCAGCTGATTTTTGTATTTTTAGTAGAGATGGGGTTTCACCATGTTGACCAGGCTGGTCTTGAACTTCTGACCTCAAGTGATCTGCCTGCCTCGGCCTCCCAAAGTGCTGGGATTATAGGCATGAGCCACCATGCCTGGCAAGAATCAACTGGAGGATATTTAAAGGGAGGGTTGGGTGTTCACAGCCAAGAGCCCCAGAACTTTGAAGTGCATCCTCTGGGTCCTTATGGAAGGTGGTGGGCAGAAGAGGATTGGCTAAGAGGCTGGGATCAGGGATTGGTATAGCAAGAGGCAGATGGCCGTACCGACATGAGCGGCCCCACATTAGCCGGTTCCAGAGACAGGCCTGGCAGGAGAAGCACTCCATCGTCAGCTGGGCCTCAGCTACTGTTATTTCCAAATTCCCCTCACTTGCACACCATCTTTACAGTTGTTGCCCTATCTTCATTCCACCTGTCCCACCTTTGTTCTCAGACCAAATCGAGAGTTGGGCTGCTTATTCTCAAGGCCCAATAACAAAATTCAGATGAACTGGGAGAGAACCGGTTACAGGGAGAAGGCCTGGAAATTATCCCCAGACCAACTCAAAATTACAAAGTTTTCCAGCGCTTATATATCTTCCAAGCTGTATGTCTATGTGTAAGTGTGCATTCATCTAAAGACATAAGTGATTCACTTCTTCTCATCTTTAACTAAGATCTGAGTCCTGAAGACTTTCCTCTAGAGTCTCAGTAAATTTACTTAACCTAAATGGGTCCTGGTGCTGGGATGATGACCCTTATCATGTCTCCTACGAAATCATGGAGGTTTGGGGAGTTCCTTCAGACCCCCAGTAAACTTGTCTGTGGAGGCCTGGGGAGTTTCTTCAGACCCCTAGTAAAACTTGTTTAATCCTAAGCAGGTTCTGTTAAGAATTCCTTTGCCATCTTGTCATACTTCAAGGCCCAGGAAAGGCATAGGCAAAACTTGGTAGGCTTTTGTGACATTCCACCCCTTGTATAAGGACACTGGCTCTTTTGGCTTTTCTTTTTTTTTTTTTTTTTTTTGAGACGGAGTCTCGCTCTGTTGCCCAGGCTAGAGTGCAGTGGCCGGATCTCAGCTCACTGCAAGCTCCGCCTCCCGGGTTTATGCCATTCTCCTGCCTCAGCCTCCCGAGTAGCTGGGACTACAGGCGCCCGCCACCTCGCCCGGCTAGGTTTTTTTGGTATTTTTTAGTAGAGACGGGGTTTCACCGTGTTAGCCAGGATGGTCTCGATCTCTTGACCTCGTGATCCGCCCGTCTCGGCCTCCCAAAGTGCTGGGACTACAGGCTTGAGCCACCGCGCCCGGCCGGCTTTTCACATTTAACCACTCAGTCAGCATGGAAACAGTTGTTATGGAGGCCTGCATTAGTGAGGCCTGGCCTGCCACACCATTACTACTTGATTTTTTTATATCACTGTGGTCTAAGAAGAAACGTACCTGGTCTTTGTCCCCAGTTCTTGTCACAGAGCTCCTAAAACCCTTGGGATTTCCTGAATGATAGGGATGCCTTTGATTATTCATAACAAGCTCCTTTTGATACCATCTCCAGGTAGATGGTGTCGGAATTGTAATGGCTGCTAGAGAATTGTGTGGTTGGTGGAGAGAACCCCTACACATCTGATGTTGGAGTGTATCTGTGTTGACAGTCCAGTAGTAGGAAAAATAGTGTGTTTTTGTCAGAATCAGCTTCCTTACAAATACACTTGAAAGGAAACTTTATATAACTTTTTTCAATAGAAAACCAGTATTTTTACCCTGATAAATGCTAAATACATGACTCTTAAAATAAGGCAGTGAGCCCCATGGGCTTCCTGACACCTTCTCATCTCCTCCCAAAGTGGGCATGTCTCACTTTGGTGCTGACTTCCAAACTTCCCAGGTGCTTTTTGGACTCTCATCCATTCTCCTCAAACTCCAAGCCACCTTTTCCTCCGAATCTCTCAGCAGTGACCTTTATCTGTAAATTCACTGTGAACTCCTTCAACTGTGTCTTCTCTTTGTATTCTCATGAATCCTTTCTGCATATCTCCTTAACTCTGAGAATTTTTCTCTCTTTCCTTCCCTCCCTCCCTTCTTCCCTCCCACCTTCCCTTCCTTCTTCCTTCTTTCCTTACTTCCTCTCTTGTTCTCTTTCTTTCTTTCTTCCTTTCTTTCAACAGAGTCTTGCTCTGTCTCCCAGGCTGGAGTGCAGTGGCCTGATCTTGGCTCACTGCAACCTCCTCCTCCTAGGTGCAAACAATTCCCCTGCCTCAGCCTCTTGAGTAGCTGGGATTACAGGCGTGCATCACCACACCAGCTAATTTTTGTATTTCTAGTGGAGGTGGGGTTTCACCATGTTGGCCAGGCTGGTCTCGAACTCCTGACCTCAAGTGATCCACCTACCTTGGCCTCCCAAAGTGCTAGGATTACAGGCATGAGCCACCATGCCTGGCCTTGTTTTTACATTTTTATTTTAGAGACAGAGCTTTGCTCTGTTGCCCAGGCTGGAGTGCAGTAGCATGATTACGGCTTACTGCAGC